CTGATTTTACACACACATACATACTGTAGCTATCTCATTTACAGCAAAACTTAATAATAGCTTATTTAACTCCCCAGTGTTTCACTTAATCTCTAAATGCCCTCAACATCGACCAAATAACAACTCAAAAGAATTTTTTTGTATCTTTTTAAACTGATTTCTATGTTTACATTGCTTCAGTTCAACATTTAATCCATTCCATAAATCCACCCCCACACAGACACACACATACTTTTCCTCGTGGTTCGCACACTTTGATTTTTAAATTTGAACCCTCCTCTTAATTTATAGCCACTCATTCTATCACAAAACATTTTTTGAAGATTTCCTGGAAGTTCTGTATTACTTGCTTTGAACATAAATTGTGCTGTTTTAAATTTAGCCAAATCATAAAATTTTTAAAATATTTGACTTTACAAATAGTGTGTTTGTGTGCTCCCAAAACCCCACTTTATGAATTATCCTGACTGCTCTCTTTTGTAGCTTGCAAAGTGGCTGTAGGTTGCATTTGTGTTGCACCAAATTTCCACACAATAAGACAGATATGGCAATACAAGAGATGAATACAGAATCAACAATGCTTTACGGTCCAGTGTGTGTTGAGCTTTCCCGAGTATTGCACAACTTTTTGCCAATTTTCTTCTTATAAGAATAATTTSTGGTTTCTAGCAGATTTTATGATCCAATACTACACGCAGAAATMTAACTTCTTTTGTTCTTTCTATCTCAATGCTGTCAATCATTATTTTTATTTGTGTTCTTGAAGGTATTTTTTTTATTTCCCTATACCATAAATTTAGTTTTATTTAAATTTAATGACAGTTTATTTAAATCACACAAATGTTTCAATTTTGTCATTTCTGTAGTGACTTTCTCTAAAAGCTGCATCTGAAAACGAGTTGCCGAGTGTTTTCTTTACTGCCATGGCTAAATATTGCTCAAATGTCTGTGAGGTGAGCGGATGTTGCTGGTTGTGTCAGAGCTAAATGTCAAACCACACTCTAATACGAGCTCTCTCTCTCTCACACATACACCACCAGGACCACCTGACAGGACATGTAAACACACACACACACACACACACACACACACACACACACACACACACACACACACACACACACTTCAGCCCTTGTTCCACGACGACACAGGAAGTCACAAGGTTGACCCATTTCCAGCAGAGCTTTTATTTTGTTTGGTCTCTACAAACGTGTAAGGGAGTGCAACGGAAACATGCTGCATGTGTAAAAAAAAGAACGTAAATCATTCATCTTGTTGATTTATGAAACTACAACATATATTTACGCTCCTGAATRTGTTTTAGTTGCAGTCAGAAAATTGGACCAGTTGCACATTTATTATAAAATCAGTTTGTCAGAAAACAAAGATCTGAAGACGACACATGGCCAGCCAGCTGCCTCGTTTTCAGTTGTTTCTTTAGATCAGTGTAAAGGCAAATAAACCCGTTTAACGTTTCCAGAGACTTCATTCCYCACGTAGGTGGTGTCGGTGATATGACATCCCGTCCCACAACATCACAACTCAGTTCTGTGGCAACATGGTGCGAGTTTTGGTAACATTTACACAATCACACTTTATGTTTCCCAGGTACTTCTGCACACYTAGAGAATATGTATCATGATGCGAAATGATGAGAATGTGCAGCTTATATTCAAATAACAAAAAAGCAACATGAATACTTTCTGTTTCAATACCTGAGAGAGGAAACTGTATGTGCAACATGTTTAAGTGCATTTGATTTTCTGTCCTTACATAAAATTTTTATCACAACAAAAAAGCTTAAAGAGATAAGTAAAAAGTTGTGTTTTGTTAGTTTGCCGCTAGCTTTTAGGACTTTTATGTCTTGAACTTACAGCAAACAATATCTAACTTGTTGCAACTTTGAACAATGTAAGGGTTTATACTTACACTTCTTATAACAAGGTTATAAGCGTAATTTAATTAGCAAGGGATCTCTTATTTTGGGTAAACATTTCTCCGGTGCAAAATGAATGGACACAAGAAGTAACTCTCAGTCAGTGAATGTTGATTTGAACCACAATATGCGATCATTTATTTTACAAATCATACAAAATCACTAGAGTACACTTGATTGTGAACAATTAATTTCCTATAAAAGTTTTGGGACCAACAATAACAAGCTGTTAACTTCTTAATTGTTAACCCCACTTAAATAGAAACTCAAACATCAGCATAGATGTTAAATACCGGACATTTGAGGCTGTATCTTAGGGTTGGCAAAGAAGAGTTTAAGAAAAGGGAGGAAGAAAGGTATTAGTTTTCTTATACTTTTTTATCTTAAATAATGTGGGTTTAACCAGAAGGGCGGACCGTTCTATACTCAGCTTCGTTCAGACATCGACGTCACACAGCCAGCTTTTACCTTGAGATGATGTTCTATCACCTGTCAGGTAGATGGGGGCGCTGCTGGAAAAATCTGTCTTCAAGATAGTCGAACAGGGAACCCCAAGTCATGTTTTTCAGACTCGCTTAGCGTCCACGTCAACCGTAGAAGAAGACAAAGCCGCGGCTGGAACCCAGGTTTCAGAATAAAACTTCCGTCTGGAGAGTTTCTGAAGGTGGATAAACCAGGCGTTGGTTTTCCACACTGTGAGGTTTCCCTGTTGGCGTGAAGGGGCCAAACCTGACACAGTTTTCAGCTTTTGATTCCCCGGAGAGAATCTAGCTGTRACYGTGACTGACGGTGGTCTGTCACCTTACTGCTGGARGGGCGGAAACTGTTAGTTTCTAAAAGATTAGAGAATCTAAGTTCCGCCCTCCTGAAGATTAGATTAGAAAAGAAATTATCAAGGAAAYTGTTAGATTCAGTCAGAACTTGCTGTGCCTCCTGAAACTAAAACAAAGATTATTGCTGCTGKTGTGTGGTTCAGAACAAAACATTTCATGACCTATTTAATTATCTGATGAGCACTGATTTAAAACATAACTGAAAGAAAAATGAATTGCTTCAAGTTCAAACATTTGCCAATATGATTCAGACAAGTAAAACATTGATATTTCATCAACTTAAACCATAAAGATTATTTTAGTTAAATAAGATTTTTTTCCACAGAAAAACCACACATAGCTGAAATCATAGGGAGAAAAGAGATCTGTCCTCTRTTCTCCTGTAACTTTGATAAACATTCTCTGATTATCAAAATGRGTAATACTTTCAGTTAAGAGAACAATAAATCAAATAAGAGAAGWTTCTTCTGTTTATTATCTGATTTAGAYGGAAGAGAATGTCTCTTTGAAWGGTTAAGGCGACCTGAGGTGGCCTAKATTCAGTTCTAAGTGGAGCAGAGTTTTTGTCCCTTCGAAGGCCCATCAGAGSACTGAGAGTCCAAGYCAGTTTCCTTGATAATTTAACTCGAGGTGACCCCTACAACAACCTCAACTTTATAGAAATAAACTTTAAGTCTGACCAGACTGTGGAGCACACTGCTAGCACTAAGACCAAAGTGGATTGTTCCCATTTTAAAACAAGTCAAACCTCAAAATTTGGATGTTTCATTTATTTTACAAACATTACACTGCTGTTATTTTATTATTACATGCTTATTTTAGCAAAAGTAAATCTGCCAAAAGTGCTAATTTGTTGCTGTTAATAACTGAAAGGATAAATTGAGAGACAAAGATAAAAAACATTTTTTCCATAAACTGCTTTGTTTCTGAAGACTGGAATTGTTTTAAGATGAGCAATGAGRGCAGCGCTATTAAATTTAGCTGCTAACTTGCCAATTTGGTCAGTATTAACCTTCTTTCCTCCAAACTGAAGTCATTTAAAAAGCTGTCCACTACAGCAAGATATTTATTCATTAACTTTCCACAGAGCAAAATTAAAGCAAAAGCTGGGCAGTAAGTGCTGTGGACAAACTTTGGGTCTATGTTCCTCAGAATCTACCCACATACCAAAAGTGGTCTGGCCCAGTTCTGGTTCATACATGAACAGTAACGCTTGGCCCAGATACCACTGATGGCCCTCTGGTGGCCCAGATGCAGTTTAACCAAAGGTGGTCCAGGCATGGGTCAGCGCCCACATATGCTCAATAACAACAGGGCCAGTCATGATACAAATAGACATGGACCACCTGTACCAAACCACAGTCAGGCCAGTTGTGGAATGCCATCCTGCAAACAGTGCTACCATAGCCAGACCTGGCCCATACCTGTTTGTCTAATATGGGTARGTTCCCCAGTAGTACCTATGTTTTCTGGTACCTGTATTCGCCAGTATCTATGTTCTCTGCTACATAAGTTCCTAAGTACCTAGTACATATGTTCCAAAGTTCATATTTTTTCAAGTACCTTTGTTCCCCGGTACCTATGTTATCCCGGGGTTATTTATGAAATCATGGAAGATGCTCGGCTCCACCTTAAAAAGTCTTTTAAAACAAATAAAAAATACTGAATTACAGTGCAGACCTTGTTCTGGGGGACATAGAAATGATCCCCAAGCTTTTAAGCTTAATAATGCTTATATTGCTCCCCTATTTAGCGTTTTATATAAACATCACACATTACTTCTAGTAAATAATATAATGTGGTAAAGGTTAACAGTTAAGCTGCCTTAATACTGTACATTTTTAATGTACAAATATTTCACAGATGCCTCTTGCAAGAGTTTCTTCTTGTCTCTTCCAAGTATGCAGCTAAATGATTTAGCCAGAGATTAGCTTTACAACTTTGAACTGTTCGTAACAAGTTTAATCAGCAGCCATTTGAGCAGTAGCTTTTAATCGCAACTTCATATAAAGTTTTTTTTAAGCTGCCAGTTATGTGGTGGTGTATTTTTTTTTTCCTGTTAGAGCATTTTTGTGTCCGATCTTTAACTAACTTGACTAAGTTTGATTAGCTGTGACGACTAACTTGAATTAAACCAACTCCAAAGGCCAATCAGATCATGTAGATGCACATTAGCACGTTGCTTGTGCGCTTATGGTGTGAGCTCAAGCAGCTTAACTAAATTACTACTTTTAGATGGATTTATTGCTGAATGTTGTCTGTAGTTCTTTAAGTGTCAAATAGTCTGATTTAAAGGGCTCTACTGGCATGGAGGAAGACCTGCACATGGCAGCAGCAGGTTGAGCAGCAGAGCTCCCACKACCASCAGCAGCAGCAGCAGTCTCTGATACATCCAGATCCTGTCTGGTAGAGAAAATCTGAGGTACAGCAGGAGGATGACAAGGAGGAGGAGGAGGAGGAGGGGAGGAGGAAGGGGGATGAGTATGAGAAGGCAAATGAAGAGAAAAGATGATTAAGGGAGAAGTGTGCTCTTTCAAATCTTTTTCCTGTTCCTCCATGATGCCAAAACCTGAATCTGGACTCTCTGGCTCCCTCTTCAGACTCTCATAGTCCAAACCAGAGGAGAACGTGTCATGCAGTGGGGAATGGGGGGCGGTGGGCAGGGTGTGGAAAGGTTCGTTGTACGTGAAGTATGCCAGGTGGGGATCGGTTCGAGACGAGTGCCCGGAGGAGCCGGACATGAAGTAACCCATGTTGGAAAAGCTGGACAGTGAGGATGAGTTGTAGACAATCCCGCTGGAGTCAGAAGTGGGGTAGTTCTGGGAATGAAACAGGGCGCTGTTGGGGCTGGAGGACGGAGAAAGGGAGGGGACGATGGCTTCCTCACAGATTTCCACTGGGGAGATGAGGTCGCATGGCGGAACGAAGACCAGTTCAGATTCTGACAACAAGCTCTACAAAATAAAGGAGGAAACAGAGTAACATAACTAKTCTGACACTTCAAACTTTTTCAGTTCTCTGGATACAAACACAGAATCTGCAAATCCAGATGTCGCAAAACAGCAAAAACAAACATAAAATATGAGATGTTAAAGAGATCCATGGTTAGTATTAGACTTTATTTAATAAACATACATTTTAACTGTAAAATGAAGACTAAAAATACTGTAGGATGTTTAGTTTTTATAATTTTTAAACTAAAAGTTTAAAAATACATTACACAGACGGGGTCATTTTATTTACACGCAAAGCATTCTGGGTAAATGATGACGTGTTTAGGTCCTTGGTYCGAGGCTGCTAGCGAGCTATATCCACCCTGAAGGTTAATCTTGGACAATATCTGATGATCGACTCTTTTAAATGAAACCAGAGAGCYTTGACAGAGAGGAGAAGGTAGAAATGACTCAGCCTGGAACTGAAAATATAGATGGAGGACAACAGAGCTGCTTCATGGAAGAAGAACCCCAACCTAGCCTGTTAGCTTTAGCGTTAGCCCCAACACTATCATCATATATATGTATTAGCTCAGCGCTACACATTCTCCTCTCATCACTGAGGTCCTCCATCCGCATGACAGAGAGGGGAACACAAAATGACTCAGCCTGCAACTGAAAATATGGAAGGAGGACCTCAGTTTAGCCTGTTAGTTTGTTGCGCTAGCACTGAGCTAATACATATAAGGCAATATATATCGTCAGCGCTAGCACAAAGGCTAACAGGCTAAGCTGAGGTTCTTCTTCCATGAAGCAGCTCTGTTGTCCTCCATCCATATTTTCAGTTGTAGACTGAAACTGAATCATTTCTACCTTCTCCTCTCTGTCATGCTCTGGTTTCATTTAAAAGAGTCAATCATCAGATATTGTACAAGATTAACCTTCAGGGTGGATATAGCTCACTCACACCGAGGACCTATCCACGTCATCATTTACCCAGAATGCTTTGGTGTAAATAAAATGACTCAGTCCGTGTTAAAATATATGTAAAAAATTTACAAAACTAAACAGCCTACAGTATTTTTACAGTCTTTATTTTACAGTTAAAATAAATGTTTATCAAATAAAATTTAATGTTGCAACTAATCGTGGATCCCTTTAATATTGAAAAATAGATAAATAACCTGCTAAATGAAGCATATGAGCTAGATATATGGTAGACAAAACAACAGATTTTTACCTTTTGATTTCCACTGTGAATATTTTCTAAATACTTTGAGGGGTTAGGTACTGGTTTCCCATTGAATCTGTAAAAAACAAAACACAAGTAGGGCAGTAGATGTTAGGGTGTTGTGTAAAATGTAAAAAACAAACAAACAAACATAAAACACAGTGATTAGCAAATCTCATAAACCCATATTTTATTCATATTTCTTTCTTTCCTTTATTTAACCAGGTAAAATCCCATTGAGATCCAGATCTCATTTGCAAGAGGGACCTGAAACCTGACCCCACATAGAACATATAAAACATATTTAGTGTTCAAACTAAAAATATATACCATTTTGGGGAACAACTGTATCTGAAATATGCAAGCAAGGTCCTCTCTGAAAAACATCATCTGGGCAATGAGAGCAGATATTCTAAAATCTGTCCATACTTTTCTGCATTCATGGCACTTTTCCAAAAGTGTAAGCTGGCAAACAGACACTAATGCACCCCCATACCATGAGAGGTGCAGTCTTTTGAACTGTATGCTGATAACAGACTGAATGAGTTATCTCCTCTTCAGTATAGAGCAGCAGTTCCCAACCTGGGGGGTAGCAGAGAGCACAGGGGGGTCCCATACCCTTATCTGCTCAGAGGCTGTGAAAATATCAATTTGTTTGTATATAAAAAGAAAAATCCCAAAAACAAGTTTATTTGAATAATTAAAACTGAATAACTCTTTTTATTTTTAAAAATAAAATTTTGTAACCATTCACTTTATTATTTTGAAGATGAAGAGATAAAGGTTGAACACATCTTTGGGATAGGTAAGGAATAGTGAGGGATTGGGGGGCTCAGTTTGGTTGTGAAGTAAGGAAGGGGGCTTTGGGGAAAGCAGGTTGTGAACCACTAGAGGATGGGGTGTTTGTGGTTTCCGAAAAAAAAAAAATTCAAAATCAGTGTATTTCAGATGCGCTTCGGTACAGAGAACATGGAGGAGTACGTATGGTTTCTTCTTTGCATGATAAAACTTTAACTTGTATTTTTAGATGGCATGGTGAACTGTGTTCACAGATAATAATTGGTGGAAGTATTCCTGATTCCACACAGTGATGTTCAGAAAAGAATCAGACCAGTTTTGTTCCAGTGCCACTTGAAGGTCATGGCATCCAAGATCTACTTTCAGCCTGGAAAATTCTATTCTGAATAAAACATGGATTTATGAGATTCGCAGTTTATTTCATTCTGTTCTTATTTATGTATTACACAATGCCCTAATTTTGTCAGAATGGGATTCTATAGAACACAGAAACAATCATTCTACTCACTTGTGGTTCTTGCAGCGCTTGTAAAGGACAATCACCACAACTATGATGAGACACAAAGTAAGAAAGATTCCCATCACCAGCTGATGGGTCCAATCCAGCCACCAGTCTAAAACACACCACAGCAACATGTATTAGGCAGGGGATTAACAGATATTTATTACAAGTCATGATGTTTGCAGATGAAATTTTTATTTGTAGTGAGAATAGGGAGCAGGTGGAAGAGAGCCTGGAGAGGTGGAGCTGAAGAACAAATGTCACAAGTCATTAGTGCCTCAAGGATAGCTGCAAAAGTCAAAATAGGAAGAGCTATCAACACTGGACAGTGTAAATAAGCTCCGCCCACTGTTAAGTCTTATACAGGTGCTGGTCATAAAATTAGAATATCATGAAAAAGTAGATTTATTTCAGTAATTCCATTTAAAAAG